GGATCGAGTCAGGACATGATTTAACTGTGAACCCCCTACCTACACACACACACACACACACACACACACATAAACTTTACATGAACCCCTACATACATGTAATACTTATCTTTCCGACTGACATTCCAACATACTAATTCTAATCCCAGACATACAAACGTGCTCTCACACACTAAAGATCCCAGCCCTGACCTCGGCAAAGTTCAAGTGTGTGTTATTAGTTCAGGATAAGGTCCTAAGGACGTAAGCTGCTGAATGGATTGAGATTTCTGGCTACTCTTCATTTGTTCTTGTATCCAATTGTGAGTCCAATTCTTCGGGAAATGTGATTTGCCGACTTTGTAAAGATGAAATAGATTTTTGGATATATCAATTACAGGCCATGAAATCCACATATTTTTTTCCGTCCAACCAATAGCCCAACAACAAAAAATATTCCAGTAACTATTATAAAATGCCATAATAAATCATAAATATCACAAAATGAAATTACCCTTTTTCCTGAAAAAATACTGATTAATTAATCAAGTAGTTTAACAAAAAGCTCTAAATTTGACTAATTCCTCATGTATCTTTTTTGATTAATTTGTCGTTTTTGGAGAGTTAAGATGTTAATTTCAAGTAATTAATTAGAACAATGGATAATAATAATGATGGATATAACGACCCACTGCTTATGAGAAGAAAAAGCCCCGGCCAGACACACATTTAAAAAAAAATATCTGCAGTTATTTTAAAGTACACATCATTTTTTCATATACAGTTAAACAAAACACGTGTGTTCATCTGTGAGGCTCTCGAGAGGTTGTTCGGTGTGTATTTCTACTGGACACATTTATTGGCACAGAAGAAAGAATTTGAACAGCAGCCTATAATGATGTAAACGGTGTGGGGGGAGGAGGAGGGGGGGGGGGACACACACGGTCAGCAGCTTTCAGAAGATTCTAGCACCAAACCCTCCTCGGCTCCATTACCAACCAAATAAACGGAGTGAGAGGGAGAGAGCCAGTGTGTGTGGTGTGAGTAAGTGTCTCTGTGTTATTACATGTCATATTCCTGCCGAGCTGCGGGCGCAGGTTGCGTGCATGTGAAGGGAAACCGCTCATAACGAAAGCACAGCGAGAGGGGCCACGATGTGGACGGGTGTGTTTGGGAGTTTATAATCCTCCCCTTTTTCCACTACTGATTTGATGCATGCTGGCTGACAAGATCGGCAGGACTGAGGCTTCACATGCAAGTGATGTGCCACACAAAAGGGTCACACACATGCGCGCGCGCACGCACACAGTGCAGCGATACTTAGCCGAAGCACTCAGGTGGAGCAGGACCGCTCGTATATTCAGACTCCATTTGGAGAGCATGGCTTGAAGGGCAGCTCTCCTGAGAGGTGAAAAGGCATCCACACACACACACACACACACACACACACACACACACACACACACTCATATACACATAGTCACAAACCTCTCTTAAGGGGTTAACATAGCGCCACCAGGCACTGCGCTAACCCTTGACCCCCACTAATGCTGTCTGGAGGGATGGCAGGGGAGGTAATGGGTGAGAAAAAATGCTTGCACATGAACCTGACCTCCGAGTTTTAGCCAACGTCTCTCAGTCTCCCTCCCTCCCTCTCGATCCATTCATCAAACAAAGGGAGGCTTACTCAGACAGGCAGTCACCCTCCCGGTCCGCTGAAACAGCGCCATGACATAGACACACATACGCACGCACGCACACACAACTTGAGGCATTAAACAACATCTCGGTGTCCTCCCGACCAGCTTTGCTGGGTGCTGGAAGTCCGAATAATGATGTAGAGACTCCTAACTGGCCGTATGTCAGGACAGACAGCTGAGAACCACCGAGTGCAACGTACATGAATCTGTACCGAAAGTCTGCACCTCGGTACGCAAAGCACGACTTCATGTCAGTGCGTTGTGGACGGTTAGTATCGCGACGGTGAGACCAAGCAAACTTTACAGGTGTGCAGTTGAGACCAAAACAGGGCAGACCTCCGTCTGGCTAAAGAGGAGAAGAAGAGTTATTCCAGTTTGATGCAAAGACCAGGGACTGCTCCGGTGTAACCCTCCCGTCTAGTTTCTACAGTAGCTATAATGCAGAACAAAGCTGGAGCCGGAATACCGCTTTCAAATTTCCGTATGGATTTTTCACACACGTCATACCGGGTGCCATGACGACTGTTGTCACTCTGCAGGCAGCAGAATATATTGTTCACCGCTGGAGCTACTTGTCTTACGTGTATTGACATAGTCGTTAATAAGCCACAACCAACGCACATAAACAGGGCAAAACACCACCACACAACAATGTGTAATACTCATAAATGCACGTTAATAAAATTACACCAACGAACGGCAAGCTGAACTCCGTTGCTACATTACAAACAAGGAAAGAGCGATGCAAGAGGAACAACGAGAGAGCAGAGATGCGCCAACACAACTTGTGCCCAGGTGAGGAGCCGTGTGCTGTTTGGATCAGAAAACGATGGATTGTAAGGTAAGTGGAACCGCTGGTATTGCCTCTGGTAGCACGCTGGGAAGACATGCCACACAAACAGCTGTCCAGCGAGCAGGGAACAGCTGTTCGGTTTTAAGGTGCTCCTTTTCGGCGTCAATGAATGAATGCTTATACACCGTGAAACCACCAGAATCTTACAAAATACTGATAGAAATGTTTATCTATGGGGCCCAGCTGACACGACACAGACAAAGCACAGAAAGGGTTTCGGAGCTTTATTCGGGCATCGGGAGAGAGAGAGAGAGGTTTGTGTAAGCAATGTTACAAAAGTCACTACAGAAAAGCATTAAACCGCTGTGGTACTAATGTTGCTGTGATGTAGGCCCGTCCAATACACACAGAACTCACCACACAGTTTTTTTGCTTCTGCTTATTCTGGGCTTTCGTTGATTGACCGGATTTGACACGTATAATTTAACATGTATTTTGAGACAATTACCAACATGATGTAACGCGAGCAACAGCACGACAGTCTGGTGAGAAGCCCGGTGAAATGTTCACTGTGTTTGAAAAGAATGTTGGATGTCCTTGTGTGTGCTTCCCACCAGGGATGAATTTAGAGTTTTGTATTTGAAACACAGTGAGAAGACGAGTTAAAGAAGAAACAATATCATAGGTCTCCAGTGGCTGTTTCCCCTTCTGCCTCCCCACAGTGTAACGAGACCTGTGCCGGACTTCTTCTGTGGCTCTGATGCGTGTTTGTCTCCTTAATTGCTTCGCAGTGGCCAGTATTTAACTGAAGGCTGAAGCCACAGCAGTGCCTAAAGGTCAAGGACAACTAAGGGTCAGCAGTTACTGGCTACTAAACAATCTCTGATTTTATAGATTTAAAACAGCAGTTTCATTCAAGTCAGTATGTTTAATTCAAAAAATTATGGTTTAGGGTCCTGGATATCTGGCCAGTGGCAAATCTTTGAATAATTGCTCCAATTGATTAGTTTGATTAGAAATATATGTAGACAAGATGTATTTCATATTTTCCTTTAATAAGGGAAATTGGATACAACAATCAGATTTGACCCATGAGGGATGTTACAGGATTTAATTGCAACCACAGTCAGTAGATTTATTATGGTTAACTTTACTATCATCATATCAGCCTCAACAAGTTGCATGAATGAAAAGAAAATGTCATAAGATGGAATCTTGCGGTACGCCTGAACGAACCAGTGCTCCATATAAAGACAACATAACTCGTGAGCAGCCACTACGACCAGTATGTTAACCCTGGCCTTACCACTGTGGCCCTCCGCACACCAGTTCAACCACACACGCACACACAATGACCTCAGCGGAATGGCTTGGCCATTAAAATCAGCCACACACCTGCTGTCTGACCTTTCTTTTGTCCTCACAGGGGCTGATTGATCTTTCCACAGCATTTCATCTCTAGACTTGCACCAGAGGCTCCCGAGCAGGTTAAGGCTACGAGCCGTCTCTACTCGCTTGTGCCACATCTGTAACGGCTGCAGAGATCACCACAGGTTTGGACAGGCCTTTTCATTCAATTCAGTAAGCAGTAGCTTTCATCTGATCAGATGTTTCTCCTCTGGCCTAAAATCTAAGGCCAATCAGGAATGCGTCAAGAAAAAAAGAAACAAATCATGAAACCGCTGTGTTTTGATAACATGAACTCTTTACATCCAGACTGAGAAACCAAACCAAACAGACGGAAAACCTAAAGCAGTTATTTCACGCTTCACAATTGGGCAAAAGGTTCGTGTTTTCCACATATTTTACAAAGCAAACATATGTTTTCCACTGCAGTTTGTGGTGACGCGGAGAGGAGATGCTCGTGTTTCCAGTATGAGAAATGTACGGTGATACAGTAGAGGAACAAAGAGGCACAGAGCCAATAACCGTCGACCGAGTGTCACACAAAGGTCCCACCAAAGCAAAATCAGCATACTGCAGAATATCTGAAGAAGATATATGGTTTGTAGAGAACAAAACGTGTGTTGTATCCATAAGACACTAAGAAATAAGAGTGTTAACTACAGCCACATAGGGTTCTTCAGTTTGTTCCTTTAGGGGAACCTTTTTGTAAAGGTTACACGTTGGAATGTTTTCAGAGGCTTGAACCTATAACCTAAAATAATAACATAAAAGGCTCTGCTTACAAATATTTGGATATATTTTACATCTGGTAAGGATGCCAACCAGAACCCAACCAGGGGTTTGACCAAGAACACTTCTATATGTCAAGGGTTTCATCCAGAACCAAAACATCATTCCTTGTTCCCTCCCAAGTGCCAGGACTGATGTGGTGCAGCGCAAAACTTTATATCAAAATCTCTGTGTATGGGGTCGATAATGAAGGGACGATATCAAAGCAACCTGACTTGAATACAGTGAAAGTATTCAAAACGGTCAGTCAAACCCCGCTTTTCAAAAACGGGTTCCAAATGGTTCTGTGTAGAACCTGCACACGTCAGGAGCATAAGGGAGTGTTGTCCTACCTGGTGCAGCCTGCATCTCCATCAGACCTCCCGTTGCAACAAGGGCCTCCAAGATCCTGACGTGATGCTCCGGGTTCACGTCCGCGCTGTTGACAAAAATAACTTTTGTTTGGGTTTCATAACAGACAGCAGGACGGTGTGTGTGTGTGTGTGTGTGTGTGTGTGGGGGATTGACTCACAACATGCCTTCAGCGGCGACAGTGTGACCTTCACAGCATTCGTATTTAGCCGCCCAGTATGCCACAGTAATGCCCAGAGGGTAAGGACATGTGTGACTGTCTAAATACTGGCAGTACTTGTTGAACCACGTAGTCCAGAACCATCTAACATTAATCAACATTTCCACAAGCACGGAATGAGCCAACGTGGGATTCCGGGTGAAATGGTGGGATTTGCCGCTTCGCTCTTTCTCCTCCCGCTGTGCACGTCAGACGTGAATTGCCCGACCAGACTATGCAAACAATCGCTGGCTGCCTACATCTCCACCGCACACAAGGAGAAATTCCTCTGTAATTTTTGGAAAAACAAGACGCAGGAAATCTTGTTCAGGGTAGAGAGAAAAAAAGAAAGAAAAAGACGGTCAGCCTTGTTAATACTTGTTAAACATCCAGCTGTTAAAATGCAGGATGTGGATATTACTGCTCAGGTGGTGGCAAATGGTTATATATAATATGGGGATTGAACATTTTATAAAAGATTGCAAAATCTTTTTAAATATTTTTGGCAGGTTGTTTCATAAATGCAGAATATAACAGGATTCCCTCTCCACCCAAATCCTGTGGGATTTATAAAAAGAAAAGGGAGATTTTTTTAGAAAATAAAATGGTTTTGCGCAATACATCCGAACAGAGAAGAGACTGTTGCCAAAATAACATTTGGCAGCTTGATAGGAAAGAGTTAAAAAATGAATAAATTATATCTCAGCATAATCTACTTTTTTTATGAAGTTGAAGATTTAAAATTAAAAATATATTTTCACGAAGGCACAATGGAGAACAGTAATAACAAACTGTAAAAAAAGAGGGTTACCTCTTCTGTTAGTAAAGGTTTGTTCCAATTTAACTTCCCCCTCAGAGACTAACGCTGCGACTAACAGCCCTACAAACAACCCTGACTTTGAATAGAAGAACAAGCAAATGAAAGATCCATTTAGTAAGCAATGACACACGACGTAAACTCTTCATAAAGGAAAACAATGCATGGTGCTGGAGAAGCCCGCAAGTGGTGCTTCGTTCTGGATCAAATCGTTTGCTTTATCTGAACATCTGGAAAGGAGTTTTGTCCCTTACACCATAAGTCCCCCAAAAACAGTGTGTCTGTGTCATTAATAGGTGTAACACATGGTTAAGGTTAGTTTCACCAGTCACTTAATGGGCCCTGAAGTTTCAGTACTGTCGCTGTGGTTTGATACAACAGACACCAATCGGAAGTGTGAATCTTCTGCAGCACGGAGCAGCTAATGGAAGAAAACATCCACGGGTCCACAGGTAAACAAAGAGTGTCACCAAGGGGGGAAACGTGTACCTGAGGGGGGAGTCCTTGAAGACGGCCTCAGCAAAGGCCTGTGCCAGCAGCCGGGGGGCGGCCTGGCTGTGCTGGCTGACCCGGGCCAAGTGTCTGCTGAGGTGGACCAGGAGCTGGTGGTTGGCCTGAGGGATGCTGGGGGACTCCAGGATTATCTTCAGCTTCTCCCCGCACTCCTCCACATTCAGAGTTTCTGTAAGAGATAACAAAGGGTTTTTTTAGACCAACAAACCAGGTCAATTCATATTTCATAGTGCACATCCTTGGAGTCATTTTCTATATTATTTTTGTTTGTGTGAATGCTAAAGACTACTCAGCTAAGAACTTGAAATATCAGTTTCCATCATTAAGTCTTCTTTATCAATATGTCACCTATCCTAAACAGAGCTGGGAGGACATACCCATAACTGTAAATAGTATTTTGGGTTCCCAGCACTGCTGAAACGCATGTGAGGCATTCAGACACAGTATTGGGTGATTCAATGCATTCTGTGCAGCTAAAGATGGAACAGATCACTGAATGGTGATATGAAAGTAGCAGTAATCACCCCTCCACACTGGCCATGAAGTGATCTCTTACTTACTCCTTAGGGTAGAGAAATGAACTCAAACCTAACCATAAAAGGTTCTGGAGCAGTTGGCTTCCTACCATTACGTTCAGACCAGTTATTTTACAGAAGCAAAGAATACCGTCATCGTGTGACTAGTAATCACACAAAGAAAGATCAAAGAACAAGCGTCTTGATGAACAGCTGAGCAGTAACCCTGGATACCAGATGCATAAACATCACATTAAAAAAACATTACGCTCTTCCACTGGTACACAGGGAACACAAAGCAGGCGTCCTGCTGTGCCGCCCTGTGAGCTGCACCTCCAGCGATATCCATCCGAGCACAAAGCCAACTGCTGGCCGACTTTGAGGGGATGTATGGCCTTGGCAGGACATCACTGGTCTGAATTCAGGCCCAATATCGCAGCCAGCTGCCATCCAGGCTTCATGTCAGACACTATGGAGATAAGCACACAGGCATCGTATACGGATGCTTGTTGAAAAGTACAACGATGAGCCAGCGGGAGGCGGCGTGGGGGATGACGGGAGTCCTTTTATTGTTTGAAGATGACCAGACCTATTGACGACAGGCTCTCCCAACACGCCAAACAGGCTGCAAGCAGGAAAAGGTCTCTGGGCCTGCTGTGCGGGAGTCAGCGGGACACTGGACTTATCAGGGCCCAGTCGTAAACTGCTCTTTTAGATCCACAATTGGTACTGAAGTCTGAATTTATAAACTTATAAAATCATTTCTGAACCATTTTAGGCAAAAAATTCCCTGCTTACTTTTGTGCCACATAAGCGCCACGTTGTCACTGGGGAAGTTTGTGCGGCTAAACATTATTTTAACAAAAAAAGAACATTGGATGCCCCGGATTGTAAAGCTTACTTACACACCTAAGCTAAAGCGAACCGAAATAGAAAACTTAGAACAAAACTGTTGTTGTCCCAAACCTCTTTGTGAAAATGGTAGAGTAGGACTGGTATCATGCAAAGGCCTTAGAAGGTAGGAACTGGTCTACTTCTGTTGGATAAAGAAGTGGACCTTGGCTTGAAGCAGACAAATTGATCAGAACTCATTTTTTGTGGTGGAAACAGTTAAACTAGGCCGCTGGACATGAATCTGTATTTGCTCTGCATGTGTACATGTTCCATGTTTTGAACGTGTGCTGATATTTATATAGGCAGCGAGAGCTAGCGGTGTATTTGGCCTTCTGTGCCCAAATCGATCCCAATAACAGAGGGCCGTACAGAGAGAACAGACAGCGCAACTGGTAACTGTTTATTTGACTGCTGTCTGATTAAAGAGCACTAGTTAAAGAAGAGCTCCATATTCCCACAGCTCTGGCTGTCGGGTCGCATCTCAAATCACATTGACATTCCTAAAATAAATGTATAAAATTACAGGACTGAAACATAACCGTACGTAGCATTTTGAGGGTAGTTTTATGCTATGGCATTTTGTCTAAAATTATATGCACTGCCTCCGACGCCTGACTCTTTTTTCCCTCCTCTTTAATATTTCCTCAACCAAATGTTTGATGAGGGCAATACTACTCTGTATACTGACAGCACTGTATATTCAGTTTTTTTCAATAAAGATTATTGAAAAATATGTGATTCACTTAAAAGAAGAGGAGCAACAACAGCCAAACACGCTGGGCTGAGAGAATTCAAGGAAGTCACCTTAGAAGAGACTAAAGGACTCAGTCATCCACATTATGTGCACTCATCTCCACAGCCGCCTTTGTCCACATAATATCCAGTAGATCCATGCATCATTCCCCCCGAGCCCCCTGTAAGTGGATTTGCAGTCTGAAGCCCATGCAGGATGGTGGAAGCGAGGTAATTACAGAATAGAAAGGCATTTAACGACTATTGATGAAAAATGACGGCCATAAATATTATCAAACATGGTTTTGATGTTACTAATATCATAAGGATTTATACGCTTTGGGAGCATGGGACAACAAAGTTCAGGGACAGCGTGTTTTAGGTGATGAATGGATGACAATCTGCTGCAGCCTGATGGGGGTCATTGAAGTCACCTCTGTCTGACAACTGCTGATCATAGACGCACGCACACAAACACACAGGAAAAAACACAATGCACGGCTTTCTCGTTATTATGGATTTTGGTGGATCCCGAAGGTCAACGGAGGTCAAGGCCGGAGAGGGAACTTGACCTGTCCATCTGGGCCCATGGGACTGTGGATGACTGGACAACTGGACAGCAGGAGGGGGAGGAGTGGAAGAATAGGAAGGTGAAGGAAAAGATATTTGTGGTTGATAAGGACTAGGATCAAAGATGAAGGGCGAAATGCTATTTTTTTGGACTGCTTTCACATGCATCCACTGTGTCCCTAAAAGACCGTGGTTTGAAAACGTCCTGGGTAAATGTGGGGAGATTGTTGGCACAGAGTCTAAAGTGATTACTCATTATTTTTAAGATTCAGTCATTAGAAGAAAAACAAACATTCATTAAAAATAACTTTGTAACAACAATGGAGACATGCCACGTACCAACCTGCTTCAAGGCCTCCACCATCATCCCTGTTCCCAAGAAGCCCAGGATCACAGGACTTAATTAATGACTACAGGCCCGTTGCCCTGACCTCTGTAGTCATGGTTATTTAAACGGCTGGTCCTGTCCCACCTGAAAACAGTCACTAACCCCCTCATTGACCCCCTGCAGTCATCACAATCATCCCGTCTCTGCTGCAGGACAAACTCTCCCAGCTGCACGTGCCCGACTCCACCTGCAAGTGGATCACTGACTTCCTGTCTGACAGGAAGCAGCACGTGAAGCTGGGGAAACATGTCTCAGCCTCCCGGACCATCAGTTCCCCCCAAGGCTGCGTTCTTTCCCCTCTGCTCTTCTCCCTGTACACAAAGAGCTGCACCTCCAGCCACCAGTCCGTCAAGCTCCTGACGTTTGCGGATGACACCACCCTCGTTGGACTGATCTCTGGTGGGGATGAGTGGGAGTCTGACCATCTGGTGACGTGGCGCAGCCAAAACAACCTGGAGCTCAACGCTCTGAAGACAGTGAAGATGGTTGTAGATTTCAGGAAGAACGCAGTCCCACCTTCCCCCATCACCCCAGGTGACTTGTTCGCTTCCAGGACCCTGAAGCGAGCTAAAAAGATGGTAGCCGACCCCTCTCACCCCGGACAAAACCTGTTTGTGCCCCTTCCGTCTGGCAGCAGGCTGAGGTCCATCAAGACTAAGACCTCCCGCCACACCAACAGTTTCTTCCCGTTGGCAGTCGGGCTCATAAACAGAGCCATACACTTTCTGTTCCCTGGTGCACTTTATTTTTAATTTTTTTTATTCGTAACCTTTATTTTAATTTAAAACCCTATTGCATTATGTTGTCCTATCTGTCTTGTCCATTGTCTTGTCTGATGTTATGCACCAACCACCAAGTCAAATTCCTTTTATGTCTAACCTATTTTGGTAATAAATGTTTCGGATTCCTGACAACAACATTCATTAATTGCCATTAATCGAGATTAATGCATTTTAAAATGTGTGATTAATTAGTTAATTTTCTACAATCTGATCTATTGACAGCCCTAATGTTTATAATTCGATCCTATTGATTATCAAATCAGATGAATGAGGTACGTTTTTGACTAAAACAGCTTTTCTCCAAAAATCCACCTTTAAACCGTCAAAAGCTTTTAAAAGACGAAAAAAGATTTTAAATTGAATTCAAGTTCAGTTGATGTAATGTAAGATGTAAATGTGCAAAGAAGAATTGCTAATGTTGAACAGGATATCGTTCTTAACAAACTGCATGTCAAACTCTTAAACGTGAGGAGACAAATTTGGGAGCATGAAAGGAGATATTGAAGTGACTGCAGCGTCAGTCCGTTGGTTGTCAGTGGGTCCAATATCTTGATCATGTACTTCAGAGGATAGCTCATTCCGGCTTTTGCTCTGACCTTTCCTCTAGCGCCAATAGTAGTTCAAATGTGTACTTGTTCAATCATTTCCTTTGGGTTTAAATACCTGCGACAACATTCCCATCAGCCTCAGCTGTGCTTTGTGTTTGGTGCTAATTGGCAACGTTAGCATGCGTACACGCTTACACACCACTAATTTTAACAGAGCCTCTGGTGTTGATTTACGAATGCTGGTACTGGCTTAGAGGAGGTCGAGTTTGAGAAGGTGTGCTAAAAATCCTAATAGCTCAATTTAATCTTGAAAAAAAAGAGGGAATCGATCCGTCCACAATATCTTCTCGCCTGTGACGGTCCAGATGGACAGTGGTCAGTCAGACGCAGACAGCTGGCTTTGGCCCTCAGAGACAGTGACCCCGTGGAGACCCCCAAGGTTAACTAACTAATGAATGGGAAAAGACAGGGAGAGAACCATAAATAGGCATTTGGGGAAGAGGCAGGAGGTGAGGAAAAGAAATGAATAGTAAAAGAAAGGGAAGAGGGTGGAGGGGAGGAGGTGCAGGAGGTATCAACTGAAAATATTAAGATGAGTGCAGAGAACAAAGAGAGGAGGAGGAGGAGGAAAAATAAGGGAGGCGTGAACTGTGACCTTTTACAAAAAATAATCTGTTACGGTGCTTTGGTAAAGACTTTCTTTAAAAGAATTGGAGTTAATAAAATTTGGCTGATTGTGGTCAGGACGTTACAGGATTGGATAATTTGAAGGTTGAATGGACTTTGATGACGCACATTAACTTATATTTGCAAACCACATTTGGCAGCCATTTTCAAATTGAATTCAGTTTCTATGAGGGTATCTATAAAGACTGTACAATATGATCCTTTAGTCTTCTTTTTGGGCGGTTGTGGAAGGGCTTGGCAAACTGTTACAACATAAACCTCAATAAGACTATTTTACTGATTCCATCCACATGGATGTTTTGACTCCATCCTCAAAGTCATAACCGACATAACATTGGTTATGATAAAGTAGCACAACTCAGCTACTCAGACACACTTTTATAGCAGGTCATGAAGGTGCCACATTCACAGGGAGATGGTCTTCGCTGCCCAAATTACAGAGGGGCTCCTGGCCAGGAGCAGAGTCTTCCCCTCGCAGTGAGCCAACAATGGCACGCCGCTACCTTATTGCCGTGCTGAAAGGAGGGGCGACCGGTGAGAACCGCGCGGGGCAGACCGCCGGACCCCGTGCTGTAAAATGTGAGGCTTCCCAAGGTGGTCAGAAGCTCAGAGACGCAGCTGCTCTCGTCAACAGGGGCTTTCAAAATCAGCCCCTGTTGACTTGGCAACATTTATGTTGCTGCCGTTTTCTCGTCACTATTCCGTTTTTGGGCCTTTGGACTGGCTTATACGAGGGGGCTTTCTTCATTATTTTTGTTTATGTGTTCTAATTGACGGCTTGGAAACCAACCAAGCCAATGAAAGCTTTGTTCACAGCATTCAAAATGTTTCCTGCGGAACAGTCGGCAGAAATTGGAGACATAAAACAGATGGAATCGACGATGCTGTGTCGCTTGTCGGACATGAAAGTCGATTTTCAGAAACAGTCTCCGCTGTTAAACAACGCCATGGGGACTGAATTGTCCGTCGATGATTGGCTGGGGAAATATCACTTGGTCCCAAGCAGAAACCCCTGGTAGGCGGAGGGAAGCACAGAGATATACAGAAAGAAATCTCACACCACAAGCATATAGTTTATTTTCCAGGGGTCTCTCGATATTATTGCATGAATCATCCATACTATATAATCCCCTCTGATTTTACAGAACAAACCTTTCCTGCTCTTGAACGCCGTCCTTAAATAAGACGGCGTCAACGGGCTTAACCTTGGGGCGGCCCTTCAAAGTGGCTTATCCTGACTTAAAATGTTCCCATGAATAAATAAAACAAAAAAGGGAGTTAACGAGACGAGGACCACAGGAGAGAGAGAAGCACTTACATAATTGAGGGGATTTTCAGTCGGAGATCAAGTTGAGGAGCTTAGCCGAGACAAATATTGGGAGAAGTTGGCGGGGAAGCTAGTTGGAACGTCCGGCGGCTCTTACGGTGCCTCTTTCCTGACACGGGCACGCTACCGCGCACGATGCTACCCACGCACCTGACTACGTCTATTTGTCCCTCCATGCATCTGTGAGTCTGTCCCTGACCTTCTTTTATGTGCAAACATTGGCACGCAAGGCCCACGCGAAGCTCGGTACTCCAACTGTTGACGTAGGGTTGATTAAAGATAGATACGGGCGTGAGAGTCCCTAAAAGCCGCGGAGAGGAGGGGCAGCCCGGCGAGGTGGGCGGCAGGTGAAAAGGGTGAACAGTCAGCTGTACGGGAAGAGAGAGAGAGAGAGAGAGAACCTGGCAAATAGCCCGTTCCAGATAGCTCAGAGTTTGTTTTCATTGAATCCCGAAGCTGTCAGGGGATTAGCAGGAATGTGATGCTGATGAGAGGCTACAGCCTCGTCGTCCTCACATCCAGATATGGCAGAAATCCGTCAGGTGTGACGAGTGTCGGCGCTCATGCCAAGTGACAGAGGCAACAAAAAAAAAAAAAAAACACCCTGGGCTCAGTTTAAGTTGAACCCTGCAGTGCGTGAGAACGGAGAGCATGAGGTCTAAACTCCATTAAAACGCTGCCTGCAGGAAAGGTTACATTTTATGTGGGTCATCGTTGTGTTGTGTAGTTTGTTTCTGAAAAGCTTAACAAAGTAAAACCATTGGACTTATCGATGGACTTATAGGTGGGCTTATCCAAATACAAATACATTAATAAATGTAACAAAAAGCCTGCAGCACATTGTACCTTGAGCAGTGTACACCAGCTCGCTGTAGACCGTGGTGGGGATGATGGGGGCGTTCAGGTCCTGCAGGAAACCTCTGAGGGCGTCAGTCAGAGAAACCACGTCGTACGGCTCCAGGTCCACTGAGGCTGGATCTGAAGCAGAGAACAAGGCACAGGGGAAGCGTTAGAGATTAGGTATATCAAATAGTGATGTATTCATTAATCTGGAGTTTAAGCTTTAATGGGTTTTTGGATGGGCCTTTTGGGGGCCGATGCCATATGACCCATCACCAGATTTTGGTACAAAGATGGCAACATTAGTCAGTCTATTGGTCAGTGCAAAACCTTGATCCAAAACTATAGACAATGCCATCTGGACTTCTTCTTTCAACACATTTAATCACATTGCACAAAACATGTGGTCAAGACATCTGGAACCATGAAAAAAATGAAATAAAGAAATGACGTCATTTTGAATTTGAAGTACCAGAGAAATAAATGTGGTAATGAAATCGCTCAGAGTAAAGTGTCAAGGCCAGATGTCTCTGGGAAAAAGGAATACAGTCACTCAGCATATACGATAAAAAAGATGCTAAGATCTCCAATACAAAGACAATTTACAAATCCATCTGCCGGCAGACAACAGCTAAGAAGCCTCCGTGTGTCTGCATGAGCGCATCAGAAGATTAGCAGAGGACAAGCCTCACGGCACCAGAGGACGTTTTTTTTTCCCTTCTCCCATCTTTCACCTTAACCTTCCTCCTCTACGTTAGCTCAACCTGTCCTCTTTTCAGATCTACCTTCCTCCACCAGCTTCTCGTTTGCCTGTTATCTTTCTCTTTCTACGTTCTATGTGCTCTCCTGCTGTCCCCTCATTTACTTGCTTGTATTTTCCTTCATGGTCTTTATCTTCCCATCTCACTCCATCCTCCAGAAATGCACCAGACCCTCTGGAATCAAAATTACAGTTAAATCTTATTGATTTGCTCCTATAACTAATGCCTAAATAAACTTAACCAATCACCTCAAGCCAGTTACCCACCAGGCCATTTATATAAATGGATGAATTCTTCACATGGCAGTGCTGAAGCCTCTTATCGGGCAGTGATTTGTCTCTGGTATTTTGACCGTCCCAACACCCAGACAAAGCCAATTTAGTGTTGCCATGGGACCCAGGCTCATAAAACGATATTAATGCACGTTTTCTTGTGAGTGTGCGTGGGTGGAACCGTTTGATTCCTGAAGACCAGATTGTAATTTGCTGTTTGAGAGTGCTGTTTTTTATTAGGTTGTGATCTGTACCGGCGATAATGATGATGACGGTGTTGTTAGTTTGCTCAAAAGAAAATGCATGACAGCTCCCCAGGCAACTGAGAGCACGTTGGCAGCCCCGGTGTTTCAATTCTTTGTAAATACTCCCAATTCTTTGCTTACTTATATTGTGTTTCACCACACACAGCTCCCCTACTATGCCGTGCAACGTGTGGAATGTGCGCTATATACAAATGTATTATTATGCAGCTTATTTATAGTTCTTAACCGGCACACATTGTCAGAAATGACCATATTATAGCATTTTTTTTAAATTCTTAACCATATTCTGCATCTACCTTCACTTTTCTTTTTCATTCGGTTTTTCTGCGCTGTATACCTGTAGGTCAAATTCCTGTATACAATGTACATTTTGCACAATGAAATACAGACAATACTGACAATGTTATATAATGTTATAGCAGTAACAGGGTAATAACATAACATTTGAATACCAATGTCAACATTTCTTTATTATATCTTTTTCTTCAGTGAGAAACTGAACCAATCGCCGTTGGGTTGAGTCCAAGTCAGGGTCTGTGCAGCTACTTTGTGTCAGACAATGACAACATTTAGATCTGCAAAACAGGATTCTCAATAAAGCAGATAGCGTGTGTTTGCGTCCAGACAATGTGTTGGCTGGTCGTCATGGGTTAGATATCACTTCAAAGAGTTCAGGAAGGCAGCAGTGACACAATAACTGCTTGTTTAAGGCCCATTTTGCTGGGGCATGACTTTCGGTCGGTCTTTCCCACGCCAACAGAAAAATGGTCCAATTGTCCCCAAGAAACGCACATGATTTCTTTGAAGCAAATGGTTACATTATTTATTCATAACCCTGACAAAAATGAATGTGATTTTACAAGAATTAACCAAGGACCTTTCACAGGATGTTAAGAATGACTTATTAATCCATGACAGTTGTTTTGATCTAATGTAACCGCAGTTCTTAGGTTTTTATTACTAAACCACAATCATTGGAGTCTAATATGGAAAACCCCAAAGCACATTTGTTGTATTTTTAACCAGGATCTTTGTCTGCCAGAGTGAGTTCATTCCATGCTTCTTGTTTGCCATGATGTCACTCCAGAGCTGTATGCGAGTGACCCAGTTGGCATGCAGGGAAGGCCAGCTAAAGGCAACAGTCTGAACAACAAAGTTACTCCATCGGAAGGAACGAAAACCACACACAATAACAAGCTGATTTGTAGCTAAAATTTAAAAAAAAAATGAGAAAGACACTGGCAATTAGATAAAGAACAAGGGATCTTATCCCCAAGTTCTATACTATTACGTTACCCAACCCAATATCGGAATATAACACATTTAGGAGTTGTGTTCTCAGAAATGTCCAACATAAATTGCACTCCCTACAGCTTATGTTATAGTATGTGAAACCTACACAATCCAATTTGCAGGCAAAGCAGTTTCCTTGACGTGGGATATTGATAGCTCCATGGTGGCTGAATGGATTTTTACAAGTGAAACTCCATCTGAAACAAACTTCTCCTTTTGTTCTCTTGCAACTGTGGGCACTGCCCTTGCCAATCTTGTGTATTGTTAATTAATAACCGGAATATAGGAATTAGTAGTTAGCAAGCATTAGTTATTTTTAACTTTAACTTTTATTTTTAAACTAACCCATAGCCTTATATTACTAACCCATAGCATTCTATTTTATTGCACTGTTGTCTTGTCGTCCAATGTCGTACTGTCTGCTGTTATACACCAATCGCCAAGTCAAATTCCTTGTATGTCTGACATATTATGGCAATAAATGTTTCCTGATTCCTGAACTGGCTTGACGAGCCGTCATAGTTGGCCAGTGCTTCTATGTTCCCATTTAACTAACAACGTAACATAATATCACTGCTCACCAACCAGCCCTGGAAATGGTCAATACATCACAAGAATCAAATGGTTAATATTGGAGCCAATTATCTTTTTGTGTGTGCTGAAAAACGATAGCCCAGAGGAGTGAAGACATCTATAGGCCTCTGTTATGTGTTTTTCTGCAAAGGAGGACAGTAAATCCCTTTGTAAGGAGAAGCGTCTGCTGACTTGTTTACTGTGGAATACGACTCGCCAAAGGCAGTCAGCCTGAAAAACCAGAGGTTCCAAGCAACGGTTTCAGAAGATGATTTATAATATATTATAAAAAGGCCAGCTTATATATTGGGTGATAGAGCAAATTTATTGTGAAAGCAGAAAGCACCATAACCATTACATTTTGAGTCCACCTTAATAATATGTTTAAATACATTACATACTAGCACGCTCCCTTACTACTTTCCAATAGGTCCAAATAGCTTTTTAAAGTAACTAAACTTGTTTTTTTGGGGTGGGCTTTTTTTGTAGGTGGTTGAAGAACATTGTTCTGCTGCCCCCGTCAACAGCAGTGCATTGCTAGCTTCCCTAATGGTACTCCGGCCTGCTTACCCAGACTCATCCTGAAATAATGAACAGACTATGGATCGGTATTTCATACCACCTCACTCAGCTATATCTTTTTGACAAAAGTAACAGTAGGCAGCGGATGCCTGGCTCTGGGTTTAGGGATTCTGTGGTGTATGCCAGGCTGAACAGTCAACAGGACAGTTTTAATGGCACTTAATGGAACAGTCGTGCTTTTGCACCGCAGCCAAGGAAGCATCATTACACTGCTGACTGACGGACTGGGAGTGTGAAACCCTCAAATCAATTCAGTCCTCTAGCTTCCTCTTTCTCTGCCATAGTGCAAGTACTAATCATCTGACTCGCTTTCATCTTGTAGTTTCTCTGCAGCCTCCACTTTCGCTGTCTACCCGTTACTCCCCTAATACCACCAGTCAGTAAAAAAAAAAACAATAAAAAAAAACAATATATTTTTTTTTAAACCCGTCCGTGAAGGGGATATAAAAGTGTCTTGGGGAAAGCTCAACAAAGAGCATTAAGACTGTGAATCTTTGGCGATTCCGACCCAATTCGTTTGCTCCGCTTAGCGTTTGACAAATGTGACCCCAAGGCAGATGCATGGACACACAAATCTACAGGCACGTCTACGTGTGCACTCATACCCAAAGAGGTCATTATTGATTAACACTTCTAGTTCATGTCAATGCATCGACAGGCTGACAGGCAGACCGTTTTTTTATCCACCCCCACCCCGAGGAACGACCTTGACCCGTCACTTGACCTTCAGTGTCTCGGTCTTCTCATATTATTTTTTATCTCAGAGTCGTTGTGCTTACATTCCATCATTGACACACACGTAAACGCGGCCAATTTCCTCTTTGTACTTGAACCGTCAGGCGGCTAATCAAGGCTTTTGCCTGACGTTGGCCGGGGATCAGTTGACAGATGGGCAGCCAAATAAATGACGTGAAACCGGGTCACTAGTCAAGGGATGGGTCTAGTTAGTGGATTGCAGTTGGCAGTAATGGTTGATTGGCTCTTGAGAGTTAGCGTGTACGCTTATGGCTTAAAAAGGTACTGACTAGAACCATAATGGGTTCTTTTATTGATGAAAGAAGACAGTCAAATGGTGAATGCGACACTGCTGTCAAACTACAATTTTACTGGTTGCGGTTGTCAAATCATGGACAGGCTGTCTACAGCGAGTCCTCCAGAAGCCATCTTTGAATGTTGTTCAGGTTAGAGTTGAGGTCACGGCAGTGAGGCGTGTAATGTCAGAACACAGAGTATCCCTGTTATCTGGAATCAGCATGTACAGGTACAGAAGAGGTCTTCATCATTGACATAAAGGAGGCCGTGTGAAGGTACCGGTTTCCTTTTGAACTAGACACCGCCTCGAACTGCAAGGCGCCCAAAGCAGAGACATCCAGAATTGAATCAGAAGAAAG